AGTGCAGGTCAATGACTATAAGCAGCTCAAAAAGGAAAGCCTGGGTTTCCTTTTAATTCACTTCCTTCTCTCCTGTTGCCAGCCCTGCCTAAGCAGAACACTGAAGCAACTGAGTTTTGAAAAGCACTGTAGCTCATCAAGATCAAGGCAGGCATTATATTTCAAGTTGAGGTTCAAAACAGCTTGCTTTTTGCTGCGACTCCTTACTTCCTGAAATCAGATGGCGTCTTTTAGTGCTGCAGTGTGCTGAGTCATGAGCAAGCTACACACTTGTTCTTTCATTTCAAGCCGCCAATCTGTGAACTGGTCTTCCTCCTTGGTACAGTGAACACAAGGACCAACTCAAGAGTAACTTCAGAAGCGATTCCTGCGAAGTGTTAAGGCATAAAACACACACACAAAAAGAATAGTTTTTGCTCACTCTCCTTGCTTAAGTTTTTTCTTGATTAATTTTGACAACCTAAAAGTGATTTTAAAAAATCCAAAAGCTACTGCCCAGTATCTTTACATGATACTCACAGCTGCCTGGGTGGTGAAACAGTTAATGCACCCGCTACTAACCAGGGTCACCAGAAGTCAGAATCAATTCCATGGCAACTAGCTAATTACTAGGATGGTGATTCAATTTCAGGGATGTGTTGATCCATTAAACATATTCAAATGCCATGCGTAACAAAGATATCAGAGAATTCTAGCACTCCAAAGAGACATTCCAACCCATTCCATAAAAATGGCAAAGACCTTATGTCTCATCTTATGCAAGGCGCAAGCTACCACTTACTGACCCAGACTTGCTGGTAAATAGGTTGTGGTGAGTTAATTACCAAATAGAGATTGGATGATTTAACATAAAAATCTAAAATTGTAGATGCTCTTGGAAACATGAAAGATCTGGCAATATTGGACCAAAATTCCTCCTTAGGAACAATTGGTGCCTCTTCAGACAGATCTTTATAAACAGTCTGAGTGCTGAGAGCGCATGTTTGCTGGGACATCCCTGAGATCCCCACCTACTTGATAGATGAGGATGCTGGGTCCAGCAAATCTTATGACTTACCCAAGGTTACCCAATTAGGTCATAGCAGAGGTAGAATCAGAATTCAGGTTCTTGAGTCCTGTTGCAGCATTTTAAGATAAGCACTAGACTACTAACCAAAAGGTCAGTGGTTCAAACCCACTAGCCGCTCTTCAGAAACAGGGTCACTCTGAGTTGAAACCGACTCGACAGCACCCGACAACAACCTGAGATGCTGCCGTTCCCTAAAGCTCCAGCTGTGACAGAAATTGGACCTCATCTCAAGTAGTGTCTCAGATGATATTAGCTCTGAACTTATTTTAATTATAAATAATCACTGAAAAGTAATGAATGTATCAAAGCTGTGATGCTGGTATAGACCAAAAGAGCTGGAGAAAAGTATAACTAGAAACTATCACATGTCCTAATGGATTTTAAGTCATTGATATTTAAAATACAGATAGTCCTTGTCTTGGAGTCCTGCTGTGGTGCTGTTGGATAAACATGGACTGTTAACCTCAAGGTTGATAGTTCAAACCCAACAACTGATCCTTGGAAACCCTAAAGAGGGACATTATGAGTCAGAACTGACTCGACAGCACATAACAACAACAAAGTTCCATTCCAATGACTCAGTCATAGGTTGGTCTAACATAAGTTGAGTACCCTCTTTTATTTATTTTTATTTTCATTATTGCTTTTTATTATCAGTATCCAATCTTTGAACAACTGTGAGTGAACATCTGAGAATGGTAACATCAGCAAATTGCATAATGCAGCACTGTGTGGATCAGGTGTCCTGGTGTAGCACTGGAGGAAAAGCACCACTCAAGGTGGGTAGTTCAAATCCATCAGCCACTCCTTGGAAACCCTTTACAGCATCACTGTGAGTCAGAACCAACTTGATGACACTTAACAGCAACAACAAACATTACTGTCCATACTCACTGTCATCAAGCTAACTCCAACTCATAGTGACCCTGTATAGAATTTCTGAAGCTGTAAACTTTTATGGGAGCAGAAAGCCTCATCTTTCTCCCACAGAGCAGCTGGTACATTTGAAGTGCTGACCTTGAGGTTAGCAATTCAGTGCTTATCCTACAGTGCCTACTAGATATCAAAATAAAAACAAAAACCAAATAGTCATAGGGAGGTTTGTTATAACTCAAACAAGTCTTAATTAGGGACTACCTCTATCATGGCTATAATGAGAAACAGAGGGGAGTACAAAAAAGGCTGAAAATAATCACTTCCAATTTAGCTCTATTGAATCAATTAGAAACTCTATTTCTTGGATTTTTTTAGAGTTTTTCTTAAATGCAAGAATTCTGACCATCGACCATTTATTTCATTAATGGCTCTTCAAGATTCATGTCCAGTGATATTGTTTTCCTCATAAGAATAAATTTATGAGCCATTGAAAACTTTTGGTATATAAACACACAAAACATACAAATAATGTTCGTGAACACTAAGGACCCTACAGTTAATTGATATTACTACCGCAATTTAGATTAGAAGTGGAAGTTTTTTACATTTGTCTACATAGAACTGGCTCATAGTCACAATTCCACCATTTCCAGAAAGCACCAACTCCACCTGTACCATTCCCAGTAATCTGACACTGTGAAGGAGTTTTAAAAACAAAACAAAACTATTTCTTGGGAAAATTGTATCATCTTGAAAAAGATCACCTCCACTTTCTTCCCTTCCCCCCCCCCCACACACAAACTTTAAATAAAAGATGTACAGAAAAACAGTCCTGACTGGTTTAGACTGTAGGTATCATTGATGTGACAAATGAGACATGCGATATATTTTGCAGTTCCAGTTTTTCAGCAGATTCAGCATAAGAGACATTAATTCCCACTCAGTCTAGGTGGTGCTAAGAGTTTACAGTGCTGTGCAGTAACGCTGTAATCAAGGTTACTAGCATTAAATGAACACTTCACAGAAATGATCAGAACACAGCATTATTACAAACAGAAATGGGGTCTGTTTGGCCCAGGCAGCCCTATAAACAGAACTGTGCATCACAAGAGGGATCCAGCTCTGAGGGCCCCCAACAGAGAAATGCTGAGTAGGACCTAGCATTTAAAGCCTACAATCACAGAAATGCTGCTGTCTGTTCCCTTCATAGGGACCCAGAAATCCCTATTCAAGTCCAAAGTACAAACTTCTGTTTACCTTCCTGCCTGCGTTTTTTTGTTTTGTTTTTTGAGAGGGGAGGAGCTCAATAGTTAAGCCAAGAAAAAGAAAGGTTTGTTTCTTTCACCTGCCAGAGCAAGTTTTCTCCCTCTCCTCCCCATCCCTTTATGTTCAAGGCAAACTCCTTCCAAGCTAAGAAACACCCCTTTGGCTTCAGTGGCTGGAAACCAAAACCTATTAAAATCATTGAGTTGATTTTAACTTACAGAAACAGTATAAGGACCGATTAGAACTGCCTCACAGGGTTTCCAGAATCCTTAGGGAAGCTGATGGCCACATCGTTCTTCCTCAGATCAACCGGTTAATTCCAACTGCAAGCCTTTTGGCTCGCAACCGAGCACTTTAACCATAGCGCTACTAGGACTCCTACTGCAGTGGATGCCTCTCCTTCATTGTGAAGAGCACTAGCTTTAAGGCAACAGGGAAAGCTCTCCTCAGACCCAGGTCCACATTACTACCTCCATTCTTGGCAAGGTTTGGTTCTAACCCTAAAAACCTAGGTCAGCTTCCTTATTACACCATCTCAGGAGTCAAAGGCAACTAAAGGGTTAAGCAAATTCCTTGGAAACGGGAGGAGGGAAGAGTCCTGGAGCTCTGCAGGTGCGAAATTACAGCCTGCCACTGCTCATCACACCAGTTTCCCAAGCCCCTGAAAGCAGTCTCAGATAGCAAGGATTGGGTTTTTCGTTTGTTTTTTGCCTTTAAAACAAAAAAAAAGAAATGAAATAAACTTCCTGTTTTAGCATATAACTAAACACACAGTAGGTACTCTCAGTAAACATACGGTTTTCAAGTATTTCACTGGAGTTTCTTCCAGCCTTTGCAAATCCTAGTCTGATTTGAGCTTTTCCTTGCCCATGGATGTCCATGTCATCTGCCAAAATGGCTAAAGGGCTGTGGGAGTCAATCCAAAGCTCTACATTGTAATGAAGTTACCTTATTCCATAGCACAGACTCACACAATTTAGACTTCTAAGAATAATAAAATCTGCAAGCATTAAGAAGAGCATTGATCACCAGGCAAAATGAAAATGAGCGAAAATATATCTTTTCTTAGTCAACAGAAAGAAAAGCCAAGGTACGTAAGACATTTACAGCAGAATAATTTGTTCTTTTTTATTTAGTCACAACACATCAGTACAACAGAGGTCAATCCCAGTTCAGTGGAGGTCGCTTAAACTATACCTGCTAAAAGAATAAACCTGTAAAATGACACTTTTATAACCCGAGTCAAATTAAATAAATCAAAAAGGAGAGAGCAGCAAGGCTTTTTAGCTATCTCAACAACCACATTTCCATGCACCAAAAGAAAAACACAACATAAAAATTTGCAGTTTAAAGAAAATATGGCAGTTCCAGGAAAATTAGGTTATGCATTTAACAGGTTCCACTGTACTTCTCGACTGACCACGTGTGTACCACGATCACTTGTCCATTCTAACATGTGAATTTGAAATCTATGAGATTAAAAACGCATTGCATTGTCTGGGGCTGGCAAATGCAAGCATGTTCTATGTAATTAGCTTCTCTCTCACTCCTCACAAGTATTGTAGTGGGGACCCTGCCAGCCAACAACAGCAGTTGGTCACATGGGTTCAGGGATCACTGATAGGTGAATACCTGACTGCTATAGGAGGCAGAGAATTAACTATACTTCTTTCTTGGATAAAGCTGATCATCTGATTTGTCAACGCTTTGTTCAGAAACAGAAAAATCAGTAGAGTTCTCTCCCAAAAAGAAAAAAAGAGAATATTATGCATACAAAACCCTAATCTGCCAAAATATTAACAAACAGAATTACATTAACAATGATCATAGTGCTTTGGAAAAAAATTAATTCTAAAAAGAAATCATAACTATACAAGGAGAAAAAAACAGAAACTAAATGTTAAAATTCCCAGCACTTTTGAGGCAATAAACGGAATCATTCTTAGACAGATATGTTTACAAAGTAAATTAGGCACAGTACAAACCTATCACAAAGTGTTGGCTTATACTACCATTTCAATTAAATGTTTTGAACAAAATTTTGCAACTAGTTTTTAAAAACTGCTAACACATGACATAATACAAAAAAGAAAAAATAAACCAACAAACCTTAGTCTTTAAACAAAATTTATCTGAAAGTGTACCTTTTTCGTTTTTACTTTTACTGATGACTTTAAGGTGATGTTGGCAACAGTCCAGCTCAGCTGGGATTTTAAGTTTTCCCTTCCCACTTTCTACAGCGTCAGTTCTTTAAAAAGCTCCAATCTCTGTCCCCCAAGGTCTATAGGGTTTGCCAAGGTTTGCTGCCTGTGCTGGTGCTGAAGGGCTCAGTGCATTGGGAGAGAGTAAGTGGAAGGAACTAAATGAGAAGGGGAAGGACAGGGAGGCCACTGAGGACAGTAGAGGCGGGGAGAGTTTGGAGGCAGAGGTGACCACAGGGAGCACTGGTCCAAGACCGCCGCTAGGAGGGGCTCGCAAGGTGGGCGCCTCCGGATGTGTAGAGGACAACCTGCCCTGATGGTGTGGTTCCGAAGGCGAGGCCGTGGTGCCAGCGTTTCCATGACCATTCTGGGGTAGCAACAAGGGGTGTGCGATGTGTGGGTGATGTCCAAAGGCGCTCCCCCAGGGAATGTGTCCAAGGCTGGCATGGGCACCGCTGGCGGCTTCTCGCTGGGAGGCATAATTGTTGAGATGGGAAACCAGTCTAACTCTGAGTGGATCTGAAGCGTCTAGTCCTTCAATGATGCTCAAGTAACGGGCAACTTCTGCCAAGCATTCCCGAAATCCCAAACTCCGATAGTCCATTGCAAGGGCATGTGCGTCAAAATAGCCTGAGGAAAAGAACAAAAGACAAACCTCAGAGCTTTGCCCTCAATCACTTCCCGCATTTCTTCAATCTCAAAAGGCAGCCCTTCCTGGCAAATACCTGCATCCTTAAAATGCGCGTTCCTCTGAAAATCCAAGTATTTTACAGTCAACCAAATTCTCTGCATTAATCAACATGAGCAGTGTGCGTTTGCTAAAGCAAGTTCAAAGTCCAATTAGAAGCTGCCAAGCAAAAACTGGAATTATACCCTCCTAACAGATGAAACTATGTTCATTCCTTTAATGTTTTCCCTCAACAACAACAAAAAGTACATCAAGGACAGAGAAACCACAGAGCAGTGAAATTCATTAGACACACAGATGTAAGTTATCATGGAGCTTTTAGGAGCTTGGTCCTCAGCAAAGCATTTTCCGGCTGGAGACACACAGACCTTGGTCTCTGACCTTCTGTTACTTAACCACAACAAGTTTCTGTCCTTGAGAATCATGAGGCAACTCATTTTTAAAACCTTGTATGTAAAATTAAAATAATACAACTTTTTAAAAAAAAAAAAAAAAAAAAAAAGCTTTTTTTCCTCAAAATTTCGACATTTGTCAGAACTACGTCACTTAAATCAGAGCCGTCACTGCTTTAGGGCAAAACTCAGATAGTAGGTATTTTCCACAAGAAGGTGCTATGTGTATACAGTGCACGATCTTAATACGCAGAGTCATGGAAGGATGAATTCACTGGAGAAAATAAAATCCTGCGTGCATTTGAAAATGTACTGGCACACCGTTCTTTCCCCATCCCCCCAAAATAGGGTAAAAATCAGGCAGCGACAAGGACAGCTACTCACTCTTCCCCAAGAGCTCAGAGTCCCCACCCCAACTATGAGCTGTACCTTTCCCTCCAGCAGTGTGCAGCATTTTCAAGTGATCTACAGTCATCTGCAGGATCTCGGCTTTTTCTAGCTTAGCAGATCCCTAAAAGAAGAGAATGACAAGAATGTTTTCGCACCGTTTTTAAGGTGGCAACTTAAAAAAAAAAAAAAACAAGGTATATGCAGAAGTGTTTTATAAATTGTCAAGTGCATGCTAAAGCAAAGTGAGTTCTTTGGGCATATATGTCATATGTGTATGAATTCATCTCCTTGGTACAAGGCTATTTTTCAAAGCGCAGGTGAGGATCAGATTGATGAGGAGGGAAAAGGACTCAAAAGGTGTGGATACCTAGAGCTCTACCTACTTTCTCCATTACCTGCTTCTCAAAAGCACTGGGTACCAGCCTCCTCAGCTCCGACAAACTGTTATTGATCCGGTCTCGCCGGCGCTTCTCAATGATCTATCAGAAGCAGGCAAAACAAAGGAGGGGCATTTCCATTATGACTGTAAATTGCAAAGTATAGAAAGGTGGTTCTTTTTCCGTTAATAAACAAACAACAACAAAAAAAGGGAGTATTGTAAAGAGACTCACGCCTCTTCGTCTTTTCCTGGCCAGGATTTGGGAAGATGTAGTTGGGGACATGGAACCTAGAGCCGAACTCAAGTTTCTGAAACGGGGAGGAAAACAGGAATCACCGTTAGGCATGGAGCGATCTGATATGTCACCTTTCACGACCCCTTCCCTCCCCTCATTCAGAGTGTTTTGGGAATTTGGCCTCGAAAATTCGCGGATGGACGGGGTGTACAGCGCGCAGAGGTCAGCGCTGCGCACCGACGCACCCCGGGGCCTTGCCCGCTGTCACAGTGGCCAGTGGACACTCATCTCCCACATCCGTCACCGCCAACTCACCCATTCTCGTCTGCACTCTCCTTCTCCACCTCGATAGTCTCGTCTAGCTCGCTATCTGAGGAGCTGTACTCGGGGTGGGCTCGCTTCATGCTGGCTGCGCTTGGGCTCCGGGGCAGGGTCGGCGCAGCGGGCAGGGAGGAGTTAACAGCAGCAGCGCCTCTCCGCGCTCGGTTGCTCGTGTTCTGCACACACTGATCCCGCTCACGCTCTGCCTCGGGTTAAAACTCAACCATCCCTTTCCCACGCTGAGCCCCTTCCCAAGACCCAGGGGAGGGCGGGGGAGTACCAGAGGGCGGACAAGAGGGCGGAGGGGAGGGGCGGCGGTTCCCGGGTAACAGCCGCCTCCCAGCCAATCGGACTACTCGCTCGGCTGATTGGCAGCCACTCAGGGGAAAGGGGCGAGACTGAGGGCGAGGGAGGGCCTCGCTCCCGCCCTCCCTGCCCGCCCCTACCCGGCGGCGGTGCGTCGGCTCCGTGGGGGCTCCGCTGGGACTCCACAGGGGGGGAAAGGAGGGGACGCAGACGGTGGTGGGCCGGCGG